CTCCGGGCAGCTTGGAGCCGGGAGTTTGCGTTTCAATCTAAGAGCAGCAGGAAGTCAATGGGGGGGGGGGGGGCAGGTGTGCGGTGGCTTTCAGAAAGATCCCCGGGCCTCGGGGCGCCAAGCACAGCTGCTGCCCCGTTCGGAGGCCCAGGGGAGGCAGGAGGCGGCCTCCGCAGTGGCCGGCCAAGCCGGGCGGGAGGAGGGGTGCTCCTCTCCGGACACGCTCCGAGGAGAGGCTGGGACGGGAGGAAGAGGGTGGTCAAGCGCGGCCAGGCGTGCCGCCGGGCGCTGGGAGGGTGGAGCTGCCTTCCGGGAAGACGGCCAGGCTGGGGAGGAAGGCTGGGCTCTCTAGAAAGTTCCTCTTCGTTGTGCAGCAAAAATACTTGGAAGACACAAACCACATCCTCAACAGAATGGCTGGTGTTAGCAAAGCCGCAAAGTATCCCCGGGAGCCTGGGCCGGCGCTGAGGAGCGAGCAGCCAAGCGCCAGGCAGCAGCTTTCTCTGGAGCAGCCGTGAGCCTTTCCAGCACGTCCGGGCCGGGTGGGACGAGAGGACTCGGCTGAGGGGCGGGGGCGGGGAATGGTGCACAGAGTGCGAATGTCAGTCGCCAGCATCCTAGTCAGGCCTCTCCTGGGAAGCAGGGCGCCTGCCCCCGCCCCCCACCCCCACCCGCTCGCTGGCATTCCCTCCATCCTCCCTGCTGCCGGTCCCTCCATGCCCTCCCTCCACTCCACTCCACGCCACTGTGGCCACAGCGATGATACTCTCATTAGCCAAAAGTTAAGTTGGCTGCTCAGTCTCAACACTCGGCAGGGAGACACAAGAGGCCCAGCAGATGGCGGGCCTCTCCGGGATCAGCCTCAAAGGTCACCGTCTGTCCCTGCCCACCCGCTCCAGCCTCTTCCGCCCGGACGAGTCTCCGTGCTGACTTCAGGCCAGCTACACGCTGCGCGGTGACATTTCCTGTGGGCTGACTGTGTGCCAGGCGCTGCACGAGGCCTTCTGTGGACATGAACTCTCAATTCCCACACTTGGTCTAAGAGACCACTGTCATCCCCATTTTACAAACGCGGAAACTGAGGCACACACAGACTAAACAGTTTGCCAAGGTGGCAAAGGCCGTCTTGCTCCAGCGTCCAAATCCTTAGCCAGCATCCTGTGCACTCTCCCCTTCCTCAAGCCTTCACTTTTTCCCACTGTGAAATGCGTAAGGGACTCGGTGAAATGGTTTCTGGATCCCTCTGTGCTCTTACAGGACCAGGATTTGACAAGTGCTTCCTTCCGAGGCACTTAGTGTATGGTTTTCTCCCCGCAACACTGTTTGCTCTCAGGAAAGGATAGTATTGGCTCGTTCACACTATGGTGTCAATGACTGATACAGTGAGTGGATATGGTGAGGTAACTGGCAGAACAGAGATTCAAACCCAGGCCTCACCTTAGCCAGTTTGGCTCAGTGGATAGAGCGTCAGCCTGCATACTGAGGAGTCTCAAGTTCAGTTCTGGCCAAGGGCACATGCCTGAGTTGTAGGCTCGATCCCCAGTAGGGGGCATGCAAGGGGCAGCCGATCAAAGATTCTCTCTCATCATTGATGTTTCTATCTCTAACTCTCTCCCTTCCTCTTTGAATTCAATAAAATATATCTATAATAATAAGAGCATAATATGCTAATTAGACCGGACATTCTTCAGGATGACCTTCCAGACGAAGCCGCAATGGTGGGGGCGGAGGCAGCGGCAGCGGCGGGCGCCGAGCCCCCTGCGGGGATTCCATGCATCAGGCCGCTACTAGATATAAAACCCAGGCCGCCCTGGCTCTAGAGCCTGGGCTGTCCCCACAGCACAGCATTGTACAGGCCACATCTTGGGCTCAGGATCGTCTCCAGAAGGTATTCTCACATCACATCCCCTCCCCTGGGAGAACAGGGCCAAAAAGAGAGTGGGGGAGGGGTGGGTGGGAGCAGGGAGGTACGCGAGAGAAGCTGTCAGATGACATGACTTCCCAAAGTCAGGGCTTCCGATCCCCAGAGAAGCCTGGGGTGGATCCCACGTCCAGCCCGGCTTGTTCGGGGAGGCAGTCTGCAAGGAGTGAGGCCTGGGAGTGGACCTGACTCCCAGCCTTGGCACCTGAGCAGGGCTGTTCCCGTCTGCAGGGTGGGGCGTGGGCTCCTCCCGGCTCTGCCAGTCCTGAGCTTTGTTCATACCTGTCTGCACCCGTTAGCGTCCTCTCGGCAGGAAGCCGCCCCTGGAGCCCTGTAGCCAGAGCTCTGCTGTGAGCCCACAGGAAGCCCACCTCGAGGAGGAGGAAGAGCCTAATGCAGCCCCTGGAGGAGTTCCCAGCAGGCCCCGTAATGGTAATGGCCGTGGGAGCGGAGCTGGGCTGGGACCGCCACGGTGCTCTTTGAAATAGATACCTGCCTGCCCTGGCAGCTCCCTGGGGCCCCCTCCCCATCCTCTCCTGCCTGAGGCTCCTGCTCCTGACCTCCCTCCCCAAAGTTCAACCTTTTCCCTCTGCAAATGGCTTTTAAGTTTCTCGCCCAGACTCTCATGTCTCTCCGCTTAATTATTGAGGAGCCTTCCTGTCGCCAGCCTGGAACATTAACACTGTGAAAAGGGACCCGGGAGGGCAGACCACAGCCATCCTCTCCCTCCGGCTCTCTCCCCGCCCCTCCCTTCCTGTCTCACCTGTCCCCTCCTCCGGCCCGAGGGACTCCTGGTCCCCACCCAACCCATTCTGTGGCCAGACGAGCAGAGGAGAAGGCTCTGTGGCCAGATGGGCAGAGGAGAAGGCTGGTGAGCACCGTGGTCCCAGGCCCCATCACCCCGCCTGGCACTTCCCCATCCTGGGAACAGTTAGCGCAGAAGCCACGGCCCACCCCGCAGGGCAGGCCGGGCCCCTCGTCCCAAAACACCCATGTTCCCAGGGACATGCCGTAAAGTCCAACGCGGACAGTGACCTTTCTGAGAGCCTTTGCCATGTCACCTTTCAACTTCCTGGCCTTCCACCTCCCTCTAATGTGGGCGTGGCCTCCCCCAGTAGCTGGCCCATGCCACTGTTCCAAGGCCCACACTGTTTCACCATCTTTCTGCAAACTGAGTGTGACAAAAGCCCAGTTACGGGAGCTGCAGCAGCCCCACCCCAGCACCGGCCTCAGGCCCGTGTCCCTCTCAGACAGGCTGACAGCAGCCCGGGGACTGCCCCCTCTGCTAGGTGACCCAGGCCTCACCTCCAAGGCAAGCAGGCTGATGTGAGCCCTCAGGATGCCCACACCATCTCCAGGCCCAGCCGGGACAGCCAAGCCCTGGCCCGCCCACTGTGGGTCTCCCAGCCTTGCTGCTAACGCAGGCAGGTGGAAGGGCTGGACCAAACAACCACTCCCAGACTGCCCACCACGGAACGGCCGAGCAGCCACCGCCCAGTGGCTGCTCAGACTGTCCTGGGCGAGGGCAGCTTTCCTCCAAGTCTCCTACGTCCTTCATTTTCGTGCCCATTCTTCACAACGCACCCGCTTGTTCTCAGATGCCAATAGTGTTTTCATCTGGATCGCCGAGTAAAACCAAGAAGAAGGTGCAAAGCCAAGAACCGCATGGCACAGGGGCCCACGCCAGCCCGTGCAAAGTTCCCACGCTGCCCATGCGGGGACAGGGCTACTGGAGCCTCCTCTTTCCCACCCGCCCCACCCCAGCCCCAGCACAGGGATCTCCGCACCGTTCATCCCCACGTCACCCAGCTTCTACAACACAGAGGTGCATTCTGGGATTGGGCAATGGGTTCCAGAACGGGTACAAAAGAGGGCTCCAGGCTCAGCGCTCCCACCCTGCTTGGGGCCAACAGCCTCTCTCAATCCAACCCCTAACTCTGGAGACTGAGGAGAGGAGGAGCCAGACCATCCAGAGGCTGAGAATCTGACACCAGAGTGAAAAAGAGACCCAGTGGCTTCCTCTCTGCATCCCTTCCTCCTCACCCTCCCCTTTCTCTCTTTCTCTCTCTCTCTCTCTCTCTCTCTCTCTCTCTCTCTCTCTCTCTCTCTCTCTCCCCTTCCCTCCCTCCCTCCCTCCCTCCCTCTCTCTCTCTCTCTCTCACACACATGTACACACACACAAACACAGGGCGAACAAGGAGGCTCTGAGAGAGGAGCAGGCACGTAATTACGGGTAAAATGCTTGTAATGTTTTTCTCTCTACCCGGTAGCTTTCAGTCGCTTTACCAGCTTAGCGAAGCACTTGGCTCCAATTGAATTGCAAATCAGCAGCTCCTGCCCCAGGAAGAGAGGAAGGGAGCTGGCAGGGAGGGATTCCAGAAGGAAAGGGAGAAAGGTGTGCGAGGAGGAAGGGCAGAGGAAGGAAATGAGGGAGGGAGGCCTGGTTCAGGGCCAAGGGCACCAGACAGGGACCGCCCGCTTCTCCAGGCCTTTTTCCATCTTCATCCCCACGCTCTGTGGCTCAGGGCCCCGCGCCCAGTCAGCACACATTTTCTCACCACAATCTCCGGGGGGAGCGGGAGGGCCACGCAGGGCCCGCGTGGCGACCCAGAAGAAAAACACATCTTTCTTGGGAATTGCGATTATCTGAAAACAATGTCAAAACAAGTCTTCCTTTCCTCTCCGGAGACCGTCCTATTTCCACCTGTCTACCTTTCTATCTGTCTGTCTTTCTCTCTATCGGTCTGCAAATCTCCTCCTCCCTTCCGCTGCTCACAGGCGCTTCCTTTTTTCCCTTCTCAGTTCGGAATTCCCCGCAGAGGGGAATTGATCGAGGAGCTGCCAGCGGCAGGTGCTGTTTCAGCACCACGGTCAGCACCACCAGGCCGGGCCCGCCCCCGACACCTTCCCTCTGCTGGGCCTGTTCTCTGCACAGGACAGGCCCCGAGTGTTCAGATGCGACTCCAGGGGGAAAAAATTCTTCCCTCTGGAGTCGGGAAGGGAAGAGGAGAAAAGAGCTGGCCAGGCCCGGCACCGTGTCTGCGGAAGGAACCTCTGGAGTGAACCGGCGGCCACTAACCTTGAACAGGCGAAGGATGTTGGCCACCATGATGGAGACGGAGCTCCCGGAAGCACCGATGACCCCCACCACGCGCTCGGGCTTGGTGATGATGGGAGGGCCGCCGCTGCCGCAGCGGACCTCCATGCCGTCCTTCTCGATGAGCGCCTGCACGAAGGTCAGCGACTGCTCCAGGGCGTGGGTGTCCCGGGAGCAGGTGTCCAGGATGCGGGCGCCCAGCGTGATGTTGGGCAGCAGGTCCGGGTCGTTGTTGATGCGGTCCAGGGCGAAGAGCATGGCCTCCAGCCGGTGGATGCCCTTCTCCTTCTTCAGCTCCCCGCAGGCCTTGCCCTCCGAGCCGCGGCCGTGCACCGGGAACAGGCCCCCCAGGGTGATGTCCCCGTCGATGCGGATGGAGTTCATGTGGGGGTGGCCCTTGGGCTTCCCCAGCGAGGAAGGCGCCCAGGGGCCGTACAGGCTGAGGAGCAGGCAGAAGGGCAGCCGGGCCCACCACCAGCCCCAGCCTCTCTTCCCTGGCATCTTGGAAACCTCTAGAGATCCATGGACGGCAGCCCCACTCCTAGCCCTGGCCGGCCCCTGGCCCCCCAGCCGGGGTGAGCATGAGCGGAGCAGCCCCCACACGGCTCTCGGGGTGGCTTCAGCAGCGGGGCGGCCGAGGGCTGCCAACGGAGTAAGCCATGCCGGTGCTCCTTGCCGCTCAGGCAGTGCTCAACGGCCCCCACGGGCCGGGCCCACGGGCGGCGGGGAGCGGCCAGGGGGCGGCAGGGCTCTGGCCCCGGTGCCCACGTCCTGCAGGCCTGCTCGTGGCGGATGACTGGACAGAGGAGGTGCTCCTCGCTCGGCGTGTCTTGGCATCAAAGAGAAAACCGCTCCGATGCTCTCCTCCTACCAACCTTCAAGGGAGAGAGAAAGAGAGAATCAAACAGAAGCCCGAAGAAGATTCAGCTGTTCTGATCTCTCATCAGGAGCCTGCGAGGAGACGCTGGGAGTTATCGCCAAAGACTCCAAATCTCATCTCGGTTTCCTCCTGGCTGCTGCTCAACCTGAGTCAAATGGGAGAGCTTACGGCAGAAACTGGGTCATGTTTGAACAGTTCTTGAGGCCTGTACCCACTGCCATCAGGAGCCTGGGCATCAGTGAGCACGCGCCCCAGGGACAGCTGGACTGGCTAGGGAGGACGAGGGCCTTCCTCAACACTCTGCCACGTGTCAGAGAAGCAAGAAGCCAGTTCCATTGGGCGCAGCCTGTTTTAGAGATGAGGAGACTGAGGCCCAGAGCAGGAGAGCATTTTGCCCAAGTCACACAGGTAGTGACCAGCAGAACATCGCCTAGCACCCAGCCCCAGCACCCAGCACCCAGCACCCAGCTCCCAGCTCCCAGCACCCAGCACCCAGCACCCAGCTCCCAGCTCCCAGCACCCAGCACCCAGCACCCAGCTCCCAGCACCCAGCTCCCAGCTCCCAGCACCCAGCTCCCAGCTCCCAGCTCCCAGCTTCCACCTCCCAGGTCCCAGCTCCCAGCTCTGGGGCCACACACTCAGGCTCCTGGGACTGAGAGACAAGGAAGGCCAACAGGGTCCCCTGGAGAAGGAATCAGCTGGGAGCTGCTCCTCTGAGGGCTGCGGAGAAGTGGGGGGTCAGGATTCTCCTCCTGACTCAGGGGTGGACCCTCCTGTTTCCCGTTTCCACCCCAGCCGCCCAGCGACCCCAGGCAGAGAGCAAACCCTGGGCCTCCTGAGTGAGAAGCCAGCCTCCCTCTCCCTCCTTCTCTCTGCCCATCTCTATCTCTCAGTCTCTCCACTGCTCCTTCTCTCTCCCCTACTTCCTTCCTCTGAGAGTGGGGCTCCGGTTACGGCCGGAGCCACTGCACACTATTAGGACCATCGTCATTATTATTGTTGTTGTGATTAAATATTAATCTGCCAGGGTAGAGGAGAGCACACCAGCTCTTCCTCAGCTCTCTGCTAATTTGGGCTAATTTCCCCTGGGGTTCCCTCCCTCCCCCAGCCTCCTGCTCAAAGCCAGCAGTCTCCCTCCCCTCCGTTTAGGCCACGGGGAGGATGCTGGGAGCTGAGTCAGGGCTGGGCCAGAGCGCCACCCCAGGCCCCTTCCTCAGGAGCCTGTCAAGTGAAGACCAGGAAGCCAGCTGCTGGGTGTGTGCCTCGGTTTCCCTCGCCATTTGGAAGAAGGGCTTGCGTTTGGATTAGGAGGTTTCCCAGGAGAATGTGGTCTCAGGGCCATCCCCCCCTCACCTGTAAGTCCCCCACAGAGGCCCAGACTGCTCCAGTTCTTGGACAGGGGAGGATAGGAGAGGGTACAGACCCGGGAGTCCAGCCTCAGCTCCTGGGTCTCTCTGGCAAGCGCCTCCGGGCACTCCCATCTCACCCCTCACCAAAATGCTCCCTCCCCTTAGCTCCTGAGGCCAAGGACACACTGTGGGTTCTCCTCAGCCCCGTTCTGCAGGTGAGCCCGTAGCCCAGCGGCATCCCACAGGCACACAGCACCTCAGGGCGGGCCCAGGACTCAGCCAGCGCCAGTCACACAGAGCCCTGCGGGCACCCGCAGGAGAGCTCCCCAATACCACCCGCACCCCTGAAGCCAGGACCCCGTGACCTCGGGCTGGGCGTCTGTGCTCTGGGGAGGCGTAAGAGCTGCTAAAATGCAGGAGAGGGGGTGGCTGCAGCTGAATGGAGCTGTCACCATCGCTCACACCTCCGTGCGAGCTCATCAGCGCTCTTTCCCAGGTGGCGGTGGGGCCCGGGAGGATGTGGGGACCTAGTTGCCGGTGCCAATCCTAGGCAATTCGGAGAGAGAAACCAGAGAAGGCTTAGACAGAGGCCACAGCCCTGCCACTGCCTGCAGGGGGCCAGGCATGTCCCCTGGAGAGTCCTCAGTTTCAAAATCTGTGAAATGGGTGGGCTGGAGGAAAATGCAGGGGCATTTCCAATTGTCACGATGATCGGAGGGAATCTCCTACTAGCCTGCCTCCAGGCAGTGGTCAGAGATGCCGTGGGGACAGCCTGCACAATGAAACGCTGTCTTGTCCAAATGCCAACAGTGCCCCGAGGAGAAATGACAGCGAATGACAACTTTCTCCTGTGTGCCAGGCGCTGTCCCAAGTGCTTTGCTTACACCTCCTCGGGCGATGCTCACCTCCCGATGGCCTAGGGCTGTGGTCGGCAAACTGCGGCTCGAGAGCCACATGCGGCTCTTTGGCCCCTTGCGTGGGCTCTTCTACAAAACACCACGTGTGGGCGCGCACATACAGTGCGATTGAAACTTCGTGGCAGAAGTCAGTTTTCGGCCTGGGCAAGTCTATTTTGAAGAAGTGTTTTAGAACACTCAAGGGGCCAAAGAGCCGCATGTGGCTCGAGAGCCGCAGTTTGCCAACCACGGGGCTAGGGGATACTTCTGTCCCTAACACCCAGAGGAGGCTGAGGCATCGAACCTCAGCCGGGGACACGGAGCCCAGGGGCTGCCCAGGCCCCTGCCACGCCACCACACGGCCACTCCCAGTTCTGGCAGCCCGGGAGCTCAGGCCGGGCTTTCCTGACACCGGGTTTGGAGCATCGGGGCAGACTGTGTGCACTCAGGCCGGGAGGCCCTCACACGGCAGCCGGTAGCCAGCAGGCCCTGCTCCACCCAGGTCCTCCCCGAGGGCTCACGCTGGCTCTCCTTGCAGCCTGAGTACCTGTGGCTAAGCAGTGTGCACACACAGGCAGCCATGCACACCATGTACCCCTCCACACACACACACACACACACACACACACACACACACTCACGCAGAAAGGACACGTCCGTATGGGGAAGGAGACCTCAGTGAGGCAAATACCTGCAGGATTAGAATCAGGAGCCCATGGACAGGTCCTGCCCAGGCTGGTGGGGCTGCCCCAGCCTCCCTCCCCAGAGACGGGCCCCCCTTCCTCGGGCCCACAGGCTGCCTTTTCCGAGCTCCTCAAAGAGCTGAGCAAACCGCCGCCTCTCCCAGCCTCCCTCCTTCCTTTGATCATAAAACAGGAACCAGGGAAAAGGGAAAAGTAAAAATACCCTGTGAGTGAAAGGAGTGGCGGAGAGCAGAGGCTGGAGGGCGGCTGCCTCATCGGCAGGGGGAGGGGCGCCGGGTGGGGAGGCTGGAGCCCTCAGACCACCCCCTCCACGTCCGTCCGAAGCTCACACCTCACACCGGGACAGCTCGGGGAGCCCTCCCCAGGAGCCCAGGGTGGCTGTGGCTGCAGCTCCCCCAGGCAGTCTCTTCCCCCTGACCTTCCCTCTCCCTCCCTGGCCCTTGCTCCAGGGGAGGACAGACTCCGCAGGAAGGGATACAGGGAGGGAAGAGCACTCAGTCATCTCCACAAGCAACAGCTCGAGGGCATTTTCCAGAACATTCTCTCCTGTGAAAGGGGATATGAGGGGAGCTGGGGGGTGGGTGAAGCCGCAGAGAGGGCTCCGGACCTGCCTCGGGCCCTTCCCAGCCCTGACAGCAGGCGCCCGATTTCCCCAGGTCTAACCTAATCCTCCCTCAGCAACCAGGGCCTGAGCCAGGCAGAACCACAACCACAAAACAGCCAGATCCAAACAGCTGCTGCGATTTACCAAACCCCGATTCCGTTCCCACTGAGCTGCGTTTTACTCTCCCAAACCTAAGGGGATGGGATTTTCCCAAAACAAAGGGCAGCAGCGGACGGAAAGACCCTGCGCGGGGGTGGGGCTGGGGTCCCTCTGAGGGGCTCTCAGGCCCCTGGCTCCCAGCGGGCCAGTCCTCCGGCTCAGTGAGGACAGGCGGGCTCCAGGGCTGCCCAGGCCGTCCTCTACCCTCCTTGGGCCAAGCCTCCTGACCTGCGGGTCCCTCGTCATCCAGGTGTATCCACGTCCCTGCAGCACTTACTTCATTTCTGTCCCCTCCGCCTCTGTGAGGCCCGGCCCAGCCCAGGTGCTCGGCAAAGCTGGGGAGTGCGGGTCTCTAGATGCCTCCACCTCCCAAGGGGAAGGTGAGGGAGAACCTGAGGTCCCTCCTTCCTTCCTATATGCCCCCCACTCACGGAGCCAGCCCTGGGCCCCGAGCCAGCGGGCAGAGGCAGGCTGGCTGCAGTCTGAGCCCAGGGAGCAGGTCCCCAGAGCCATGCTGCCAGCTGCCAGGTTCGTCTGACTTCCACCTGCGTGAGGCCCGGCCCTCGGGGAAAGGGCTTGACCAATTAGCTCCCTCAAACCCTAGCAATCCTCTCCCCCTTCGGACCACAGCTCGAGGGGAGTCCTGTCCTCTCCTCTGGACATTGCTACACCTGGCCTGCAGTGCCTGCGACCCCTGCCCGGCTCGCAGACATAAATGAGTGACAGATGTGAGTGACGGTTCCTGGGTTCTGCCCTCCCTTCTCTCCCAGGAAACCTATTTCTCTGATAATAGAACCAGCATCCCTGCTCCAGTCACTCACCCCGCCTGAGCCCGGTCTGAGGCAAGGAGGAGCACACCCTGGGGTCCGGGCCTCAGGTCCCCGTCCCTGCACTTCCTGGAGCTGCTCC